CCCCGGTGTCTATGACAGCACTTCGGCTCTTCGACTCGCTAGCTTCGGCTTGGCTTCGGCTTAGACTCGAATGCAAATGGCGCGAATTTGTTGATTCTTTGAGTTCTTCTGGAAAGGAGGACCAAAGCTTAGCTATTAAGTCATCAGTGAATGAATGAAAGGGAAGAAATAAGAAACGCAATAAGTATGCAACAAGTCAAAATATTTATATTTGGAATAGTTACTCAACTTTTCTTTCTATACACGTTCACAAAGAAAATGGCACTGGCTCAATAAAATCTTGTCGTATATCTGTGATTTACACTTAACAATGTACACTATCAGATTTACAACGTTGTAAAGGTGAGGTCGTAAGTGAGTGAAAATACACAGGTAAAATATGTGCAATTGCAATGGGATTTACTTTAAAATTGATACAGAAATAAGAATAGTCATTCAACCACTTAACATCTGAAGTCAGACTTATATTTGAAAAACAGTTTTGTCAACAAAAAGACATATCTTATTATATATGACAAATATAACATATATACTCACAAGTATTTTTTAGGATGAACAATTGCTTCAAAATCAAGGAAGCAATTGTCCACCAAGATTCTCTTTCCCTTAGGTAAGATACAGACCCAATAATAAATAGGCCCTCTAAGAAAAATTAAAACACTAGAACCCTTAGTCTTTGGCATAAGCTGTGGGTGTTTGAGTTTTCAGATAAAGAAGTCAAACCAGCCTCTTTTTAAAAACTTCCAAATAACACACACAATATCTGTCTTCACTTCAAATGAATAAACTATACACAAACTGTGCTTCATTTGCGGTTTACCACACCTAAACCTTTCAACCTTTTTTCTTAAACAGCTGATGAATGAAATTTGAGTGCAAATGGGTCTGCACCTCTCTGTATAGAACATGTCATTCATGAAAATTAAGACTAAGTTTTTAACGAGACAATAAGCACTACTCTACATAATCCAACAATTTGTTTTAATTTCCAGAGAAATTTAAAATACAATTACATATTATTTTTTAAAAAAAGAAGAGTAGATTAAACAGAGTAGTAGAAAAAGAGAATTTTGGCAGGAAGAAACATGCAAGTAATTACATTGTACTAAATTACTTTTTACAAGTCATCTCCTAATCTACCAGGTACAAAATCAGTAGGTTTCTAAATCCATCAGTTCTTTTAACTAACATGGAACTGACAATTACTTAAAGGTTAAAACTGTGGGACAAGACACAGTGATCACGGGACCTTATAAGCTACACAACCACATAATATGTCCACGCAAAATAAATAAAATAGGTTTTCTTTGTTGAAAGAAAGAAAAACAAAATTGAAAACATAAAGATGTTACATACATGTAAAAAAACATTAACAAAAAAAATTGAGAAAACCTTTTGAGTCTACATATTTGTTTGTTCCTTAGTTGAACTAATTGGCGCAACTCCTGGAGCAGTACCCGCTGCCACAGTTGTTGTCCCCGTGGTACCAGCTCCAGCTACAGCAACGGCAATTGCTGATTGTTGTACACCTGTAGCCCTCACAGTTGATGGTGATATAATTCTTGCAAACATTTGCGACCGACCTTTGTCAGAGTGAAACGATCAGTTAATACAATGGTAGACGAAAAGGGTCAATTATATAATAATGAACTAAAATATTTACCTTTGGCACCATCAGGTGTGGCAGCCTGAGCAACAGGTATGACCTTGAGTCCTTGTAATCCTTGGATGCCTTGAATACCTTTAAGATTAATAGTGCCGCCTTGAAAACCAGCAGGAAGTAAGATTTGCTGTGTTCCTCCAGCTTGTTGCAATACAACAGCATTGGAAGTCGTTGCAGTGGTTGTTTGTTGATTTGCAGCCCCTGCAACCGAACTTGCCGGCCGGAGCGGTTGAGAGGCCAAAAGAACTGTCTGCTGACCACCACCCGGTGATGTCAGTATAACATTCTGTAGATGAAGATTAGTAAATTATATTAGAAAAGTT